AACAATATTAACTGTAAAGCAGAATAGAAAGCCACGGAGTTAATCGACAAATCCTTTAATTTGCCCATAGACATTTTGTCCAACTAAATCAGTGCTTTCAAAGCGGAATAAATAATAGCATGCACTTTTTGCTTGTTAGAATCGAGGGGTAAAAACGCAGGTTAATTGGAGCCTGAAATCCTACAAATGTTGGGACTGCCAATCCTGCCTGACCATGCTGTGATGCGAGTCATCAGACTCAGCAGAGAGAAGCCGTGGAAAGTTTCTACAATATTGCAATGGATGGGGAAGGAAAATGGCTGAGTAGCATGCAGGCCAGTCAATACCCATTTAAAAAGTGATCATACAGAGGTAGAACTTGCTTAGGTAACCTGTGCAAAATTGGTGCTGCTTGTTGCTCTGATAAAAAAGCACCAGACCGGCATTCTCGAATGATCCAGCTTGATTTTAATCCTGCGAGAGGTAAGAATGGTAGGAAATGAAGTTTACCACACAGTATCTATGCTTTCAACTTTGGCTTCCAGATATTATTCTATAGTATCTAAACTGAGGGGGGGAATCTTACTAAATATGGCCAGTTGACGCTCAAAAGCATGCACCTGACTTCTTAAAGTGTTATTCCAAAAGACCCAGATTAATTAGTCAGTAAATTGTAAAATAGTGCACTGTCTGTAAAGACTATAGTGGCCTGTTTGTTACAAACCTGAAATTCATTTCAAGATCATACGAAAGGCTGGAGCGCTCATAACGACATTCAGACGACAACTCCCCATTTTGTACAACATAAATACAACATAGATTTATCACAGTCAAGGTAATAAATAAATGATACCTAAATGTCTTAATCTTAACAAAGTGGGGTGAGGATGATACAGATTTAGAGGTGTGCAACAGTGTTGGCCGAAATGGAGTTCATCCTCCACTCTTCAAGGCAATTGATGCTTCTCCCCTTTAAATATTCAGAACTGGTGGGACATCCTGATGAATGGAAAAAGGTGTACCCGGTTGTGCCAGGAACTAAACAGAAAAGGCAGAAGTACCTGGGAGTATAGCCGAAATCTGGAACCAGTCTTATAATTCATGTCAGCACTAATAATTCAATTCCCTGGTTTTAAAATAAAATTTTAGATTTGCCCTAGGGATGGAAAGTGCAAAATCTTGTTATTCACAGCTTGAATGCAGCAAAAAAAAAAGTTATCTACTACTGTTAACTCTTTTCACAAAGGCAAAGGGTTTGGGTGTGTGATCTTACAAATGTTGTACCGTTTCAGCAGACTCCTGTAATAGGATGCAATTAGTCTTTTACTAACTGCTGTTCAACCAAGGAGAAGACCTAATGGGTACAGTTTTTATGCCTATTATTTCTTTACCTGTTGCTAAGAGCTGCATTGTAATCTGTATGGATGAGCAGTATTGCCTAGTTATATCAAAGAACTTGCAAGAACAAACAATAGCTGCTTGTCCCTCTCTGGTGAGCAGATTGCTTTTGCACTTGAAGCATTAGCAAAGCAAAATGGCAGAGTTCATTGTTAAGTCAATGCCTCATGCTTCAGATTCTAGGCTGCAGGAGATCAGGCTAAACATGGGGATGCTTCTACAGCAAAATCTCCGGGTGCCAAACTACATAAATCCACTCCCTTAAATTTCCTCTTGAATTAATCTGGCTTGAGAGAATTTTCCTTCCTAATGCGAAAGACAGCAGCCAATCAAACCCTATTCAGTCATTCTATTAAGCCTGCAGTACCCGCATGCATAGAAAGAAATGCATTAGCTCCACTCCACTCTATCCTCTCTTTAATCAGAGAAATACAGCTGTCTTAAGAGGGAACCAGAACCCCCCGTTAACATGGAGAGGCTTTCTGGGTACAGAGTCTGCCCTTCTTCAGTCAATCCCATTTCTGCGATTAGAATAACAATGGAGGAGGTAGCTAGTGTACTCCTGTCACCATGTGGAGGGGGGTCCATGCTCCTTAGAACATGACTTAATAGTGGTTCAGACATCAAATATGAAAAGAAGAAATTTATCAAATCATCCTCTTTAAAATGTGGAACTATTCTATGCTACCCAGAACTCCATCAGTTGTTCCAAGAATCCTAAAAACAGGAAAAAGAGTCATTCTGAGCCTCAAATAGCCAAAACTGAAACATTTAGGGAGAACATTTTCCAATTCTGGCTTGAGTTCAGTAAAGCTCTTTTTTCCCCCTCCCATAATGTTAAAAGGAGGCAAAGGCTGACAAAATACATTTTTCTACAGCTGTCCAACTTTTCTGTGGCACAGAATTGCAGCACTCAAAGGCTTCAGAACACATATAAATCTGATCGCTGAGGCCTGCATCTCTGAGGAAATCCCATTGTGGGGCAGAAAACGTTAGCTGGAAAAATAATGTTGAGCTTGAGCATGAGCCAGCCAAAGTTAGGCACAAAATCCCACTAGATTTTTCTGGCAAAGCTCAATGAATATTTAGAAGTTCAATCATATTGCCCATATGAGGAGGACAACTCCTGTCATGTACTGCATCCTATAGCAAATGACGTCTCCCACCATACTACTCTTCACGTAGATCAACTCCTGGATGTTCTACTTGTCAGAAGTAATCAAAATATGCAATAAAGCACATTTTGGTCACTGCAGGGTCCTAAGAGGAGGTGTGGCTGCTGTGATACTACGCGATTTGTCAACATGAAGGTGGTGAGGCTCTTGCCTCACTCTTATTTAGGAAGGAGTCTGCTACTGCTGAACCACGAATGGAAAACAAGAAGGGGGCAAGGATGAAAAATCCAGCAGAATGTTCTCTCTTTCTGCTTCTTCCATCACACATTAGGAGCTTCTATGTCTCTGCAAAGGCAGAACAGGACTGAGGCTTAATCCTCTCCTGCAGTCAACAACCACAAGCACTGAATTATAGAACTGTAGACTCGTGATCCTCTGCCTAAGCAGGAAATCCACAACCACAGTCTCCAGGAGCTAAGCACTGAGAGCCATAGAAGCTCTACATGTTAAGTAGGTTGCATCCTAAAACCTGAAAAATACCATGCACTGAAAATAAAAATACAGTATCCAAATGTGCCTTGGGAACGAAATGGCTTACAAGTTGTACTTTCACCGTCAAGAAAACAGGTCATGAGATGAGCCTTTTCTCCCTTTGTTGGGAGCTGCACACTGAGTGATACGTATATTGTATGTAAAGAAATTAGCATAAAAACTGTATGATGGCCAATGGTAAGACAAAAAAAAAATCCTTCTACAAACTCCGTACTACATCCAATACTATTTTCCAGGAAGTAAGTGAACAGTATCATTGGCCAATATCCCAGTGATCTTTCCCTGAGTGGAAAGTCCTGCCAGCATGGCAGTCATGCAGGATAACGCCACCGATGCACACAGGGCAAACCACTGCCTCTTCAACAACAACACTTTGCTACACCACCAATGTGTTCCACTCAGGGGAGATTCAGCAGGACCCTGGCCCTCATGATTAGGACTAGATTCCTAAAATGATATTTCACTCAGCTATTGAAACATGCAGTTGCATAAGAATCTTAAGAAAAGCAGTATTAAAAAAGTGCAGGCAGACTTCTTGGAGAAGCGCTAATACAAAATGACATAGCTGGAGAGCTTCAGTATTTGTTTCTGAGCTAACTTATAAAACAACACCAAAGATCTTAAAGGAAGGAAATTACATAATAAAGAGTTGGTGAACATTAATAGTGCATGAATGATGAGAAGATACAGCTTAAGAACGCTCGCAAAGCCGAGGAGTCTGTGAAAGGAGGCTATGTTAGGAATCAACAAATCAAAGCATCCTCAGTCTAGTCAAATGTCTTTAGCACTGTAACATGTTTAAAACAAATATTCCTGCTTTCCAAATGGTGGCATGCCTGAACAAACTAATGACAAGGACACAGTCTGACCAGGCTTCTCTATCCCATATATTTCAGTGAGATTTAAGCACAAATATAACACTTTCATTAAACTCAACAAGAGTTGCAAGCTTCAATGTAGGCTGCTCTCAATCTTTGAGTGAATATCATCAGTACTGTATTAGATTATGAAAAACACTGCAGTCCTAGCAGATCCTAAATCATTGCTCTACAAATGAATGTCCATTAATGTCTGTGAAATTATTTCTTCTAAATATAATGCTATAAATCAGTTTGCATCATAGTGGAACCATAGCTGACAATCACTAAACATTAAAGAACTAAAGAAAGTCTAATCCTACATGCCTTTCCATAAAGCACAGATTCGTAACTATATCATAAATTAGCATTTTAGCTAAGGAGAATTGATTCCCCCCCCAATTCTGCTGACAATAAAGACATTTATTTATTTTATTTTATTTTATTTAGTTTAATCAATATGCCGCCCACACTACCCAAAGGTCTCTGGGCAGCTTAGAACATTTAAAATACAGTAAAAATTCAGAACAATTAAAATACAAGCCTGCAAAATTATCATTGCTTTTCACCTGTTTTTCAGACTGCTAGAATAAAAATCTAAAGAATACAAAGTTAAAATACTAATCCTCAAAGAAGTGCCAAAGGACCAAGATCAGTCTTTCCCAAACCTTTTTAAAACTTGAAATAAATGTGAGAATTTAATAAAAATCATTCTAAATTAAAAATATTCAAAAATTAAATTTTCATTAGAAATTCTTTATACTAACAATATCTACCACACAAAATTGTTTAAGGTGATAAAAATATTTGTTCCTTATGGAAATATCACAGTCTTATGGCCCTCTCTGGAATTTATACGTCACCCTCAGTTTGGGAGCTCATGATCTAAATTAACCTAATGAACAAACAATGTTAATATAATCAATATTACTATATAATTTGGCATTTAAAAGAAACAGACACACAGAGAGAGAATGTCACTCATTCGCAGAGCTTATACAATGAGAAAATGCCAGGTCAAAGATTAAACATTTCCTGTCCTTGTTTTCAAAAGGATAGCATTTTCAAACGACACAAATGTGCACTAAAGTAAACTTACCTCTTTGCTTTCTTCCAAATCTGACTCACTGCTAAACTCCTCAGTGTTTAAATTTTCGAAATCGGATTCTCCAACTGCAATGGGCACGGTCACAGTCACACTCGGGTTGTTTATAAACGACATGTAATCACTTTCGTCCACAACATATTTCTCCACACTGCTGCCGATGCCACTGGTAGTTCCGTTGCCATCTTTCAGGTAGTTGAAGTCTTTGCCGATATCTACTATGGTGTGGTTAGAAATGCAACTGTCCTTCTTGTTGTTTAGATCTTCAAGTGGTTTGATTTCATCCAAAGCCTTCTGTTTCCTCACAAAGGCCTTTTGGACAAATTCATGTGCTTTTCTTTTTACATAATCAATGCCTCTCTGAATCCTTGCTACAGCTATCTGGAGATTGTTCATTTCATTGTCATCATCTGTAGCAGCAAGATTGTCTGAACTGAAGGAGCTCAGCAGCAAGGCTAGAAAGAGGTTCAAAACCTATTAAGGCAAAACAAATGGCTGGTATGTTACACAGAATGACAACAGCCCCTTTCTGAATGTTTCAGTGTAACATCTGTATCCCCCAACTACTGCTAGATCAAACCATCTTAATACTGTGGCTTCTCCATACCCAATGCCAGTAGTATCAAAACTCGCTTGCTCTCCTCCCCTTAGTTCTACAATGCCAAAAACCTGCTTCAGAGCCTTTCCCAACCATCTACAGTGGGGTCTTGACTTAAGAACGGCTTGAGTTAAGAACATTTTGACTTAAGAACCACTCTCATAGGAAAATACTGACTTGACTTACATACTTAGATTTGAGTTAAGAACTGAAAAAAAAACCACGTGGGAGGCAGGGAAAGTGCAAAATTTGAACTTTCAGTTAACTGTTGGCCAGTGAAAAGGGTGCCTGTCTGCTTCCTCACTCCTCCCAGCATTTAGAGAGGGGATTGGGAGACAGTCTTCAGACTGCCTGGACTGTATTTTCCCTGCCTTCCCTGAAGCTTTCTTGACCTAAGAAAAAAAGAAACAAAATATCCCCCTCTAGTGCTCGAAGGCGGAATAGCAGCTTCCCATTAGTTTCTATGGACGGAAAAGAGCAGATACGGATCAAATGGTTCTCAATGCATTTCTAAGGGAAATGCAGATTTGACCTGAGAACTTTTTGACTTGAGAACCGCCTTTCAATACGGATTAAGTTCTCAAGTCAAGACCCCACTGTACAACAAGTTTTTAGGGTTCACATGGCCTGCAAGAGAAAAAAAGTATCACTGTTTTTTGCAGAAGCAGCAGGCTCCAACTGATGTACACCACTGGATTCTGTCTTTAGTATATAATCTAGCGGGGACACAATGAGCCAGCACTGAATCAAATCAGTGCTCCCATTAACTCACTTATTGTGCCAAATAGTTGATATTGTTCTCAAAAGATGTCCAGACATTGTAGACTGATGCTTCAGATTAGCAAACTGCAAAACCTGCAAACTCGAAAAACTACAGATGGACTTTCTGTAATACGTAATTTGGTGTTAGGACCCAGGTTCAATCCTCAGGAAGTGCCCGGAGAGACCTGTCTGATGCCCTGGAATGCTGCTGCCGGTTAATATAAACAGTACTAAGCAAGATGATTCAGTAGTTTGATTTCGCATAAGGCAGCTCCCTACATTCCTATGCAGACAAAGAAAGGACATGACAACTTTTAGAGGAGCAGTTCCAGGATAGCAAGGTCCATCTTTTAAAATAAAATGGGCAGTCCTACTACACACAGGGATTTGATGACGGCCTACATGTCCTCTTTGACACAGGCATTTCTAAAATAATACATAGAAGTTAGAAGGTAAGTAGAACCACCATCTGACCCTTGAGATATTGTCCACTAACATGGTTGATTTTTTTAAATTGCATCTCTGTATTTAAGTCTCATTACTTACACAATCTGTTGAATGTCATGGATACAAAAGTGAAATGGCATCACTATCTCATCTTTGTAATTTAAATTGAATTATTTCCAGTTTTGGGGAGATTTTTTAATCACTCTATACACAATTTTAAAATATCTAAAAACCAAAGTTTATTACACTGCTTAAATTAAATATACATTTGTTGGACACCTACCACTAGATTTCCAATCACCATGACCATCATGAAGACAGTAAGGCACATGGTCTGGCCTGCAACCTCCATACAGTCCCACATGGTCTCTATCCATTCGCCACAAAGTACTCTGAAGACGATCAAGAAAGAGTGGAAGAAGTCATTCATGTGCCAGCGTGGAAGCACACAGTCGCTGGAGATCTTGCAGACACACTCCTTGTAACTTTTGCCAAACAGCTGCATTCCAACCACGGCAAAAATGAAGACAATAATGGCCAGGACCAAAGTCAGGTTCCCCAGGGCACCCACGGAGTTGCCAATAATCTTGATCAGCATGTTTAGAGTTGGCCAGGATTTTGCCAGCTTGAAGACTCGAAGCTAGAAAATAAAAAAACACAGGCTTCAGTATGCATGTTCATTTTCCTTATTCTTTAAGAAACAACAGTATTATCTTCTTCTGAAAGTCAACAAGAAATAGATTTACAGATCTCTGGACTCCTTCAATGGTGAAGGATGACATAAAACAAGTGCAAATTAGTGGCTTGAATGATTAACAGCTTTAAGTAGCAATGTTAGGTATGTACCTTTAGAGTAAGTTCCACTGCACTGGATGAAATTAACTTCCAAGCAAACATGCATTGTCTTGTGCTCTTAACATGTGTTGCTTCATTCAAGGGTACAGTATAGCCATTCATAATCTAATAGGTTAGTATGTATGTGATCAAAATGTACGTTCAAATGTCTGTAGCCTGTTTATGCACTTACCAGTCTGAAGGATCTTAAGACTGACAATCCTTCCACATTCGCAAGGCCCAGCTCCATCAAACTCAAGCTGACAATGATGCCATCGAAAATATTCCACCCTTCTTGGAAATAATAATAAGGATCCAAGGCTATTATCTTTAGGAACATTTCTGCTGTGAAGATGCCAGTAAACACCTACACACAAAAATATGATCTGTCATTAGTTCTGCGTGACATTGATCATACTCTTCAAGATACATTTTGAGCAGGAGAAAACAAGGGCAGCATCAAAAAGAAGTGGGGGAGGGGAAAAAAACCCTCCAAAATGTATCCCTTAATTGTGATCCCGAGAAATAAGCAATTTATTCTGATAAGTGAAATATCCAGCATAAGTTTCCCACTAGGTGGAAGATCCTTCTCTAATATGAATCAGACCCATTGGAACACATGACTACCCCCCCACCCCCAGAATGGCCTCTCGCTGGCTTAAGTGGGAAGTAGAAAAAGAAAGGAAGAAACCACTGCAAAAGAAAGGCAAGAGAGCTAAACCATCACTACCTCCTCTGACATGTAGTCCCCAATCTCAAACAAGCAGGACTATGCATTTGCTAGACACAAACACTTCCCACCCCATTCCATAGGCATAACTGTTCTGCGTACTGGTTACTATTGGATCCCACTGAAATCAATGGGGTGTATGGTATACCCCACCAACTTTTCACCCTGATTTGAATGGGATCTAAATGTGATTAATCTAATCTAGATCCAGCACAAGAAGTCCAAGTAGTTCAGAAATATTTCAATAGTACTTTTACTTTCTGCTTTTTAATATAACACGTGGAAGGCTTACCAAGTTTCCAACAGACAGCACATTATTAAACTGGGGCGTCATCGGATAATGTTCCATGGCCATAAACAAAGTGTTCAGAACAATGCAGATGGTGATAGCAAGGTCGACAAACGGATCCATCACAATCAAATGAACAATATGCTTTATTTTTAACCATGGAGCGCAGCAATCCCAGATTAAACACATGTTAGCGAATTTGTACCAGCATGGAGGACATTTCTGCCTGGATTCTTCGAGTTCTAGAAAGGCAGGGAGAGAAAAAGAATACGTACGAAAAGGAATCACTTAAAAAGCAACCCCCTTTATTATTATTTTCAACACAAGATTTCTGCCATGTTGATCAATGGTGACAGTCAGAGAAAAGTCTGAGAGTTACACTGTGGCCCTTGCTGGCAACCCCCAGCTGTTATCCATCCCTTTCGACAATGACACCTCCAATTTCCGGTTGGATGTTGAGCCAACAAGCAATGAACAACTGACTGTACTGTTGCTTCTGGGGCATGACCCTGGATATCCATGACTTAGAAGCCTGCCAGTACACAACAGCAAGATCTGTGCCTATAAATGGAAGGTCTGTAGCCTTCCTGGAGCACTGTCGCCCCCACCAAGGGCTGGAGTGCCTGGCAAAATCTCCTCGGTTTGGGTCTCCATGAATTCCAGACTTCTAAAACTGTTCACACCAGATTTTACTGAATCTGGGGAGTGGGGCACAGAAAAAGATGATGCAACATCAACTCTCCCCCCTATCCGAATGGCTGAGTTTCCATCACTAGCACACAGACACCCCAGTTATCTGTGGCCTTCCTGGTCTTATTTAATTTCACTGGAGACAGTATGTTTAGCACCTGTGGTTTTAATGGCCTGTCCTGGCTAGCCAGTGCCCTACAAGGATAGCTTGTATAAATGGGCCCTGGTTATGATCCTGGGGTCCTTGACGCCTCCTGAAGGCACTGATACTGCTCCTTTTGTCACTTGCACCTCCGGTGCCACCTCTGGGTCAGGGTGGTGGCTGGATGCCCTACAGGCTGCCAGATGGGTTCCATCAGCTTCCTCCTCTTCCTCTTCCCTGTCCCAGGGTGACTGACCAGCTTCTGCACCCACCTGAGGTCTGGCAGATGCTTCAACGAGCCTTCCAAGAGGCGTGGGGTGAGAGCAGATGGCCCACCAGGGATGTTGGAGGTGACCTCTTCACACCTTGTCTAACCATGTTCTAAACTTTGCAAAACTTTAAAAGCATCTTATGGTAAACTTTGCAAAACTTTAAAAGCATCTTACGGTTCCATGTATGTCGTGCTTTTCCTTCAGAAACGTGAAAGCAGCAGACATGGCACTCGTCCTCCCCCAGTTTAGCCTCAGAACAAACTTGTGTGGTAGGTTCATCTGAGAGACACCGTGACTCGTCCAAGGATGCCCAAGAGGTGGCGACTAGATCCTGCACCTCCCACCTCCTAGGTCTGCACTCTATGCTACACCATACAACCGGCTCTCGAGTTTACAAACCTTCCATTGTGTTGGTAAGTATGCTGGCTATGCTCATTGCTCTTTGCCTTGCAGTGGGATCAGAGAGAAAATCCATAGACATGTGGTAAGAACTTGAGCGCCTTTTCCGTAATTCCGTTTCTGTAGTGGTGCCCTGAAAATAAATTACTTGTTAATGTAAAGGCTCATTATGGTAAAAATATTGAGCAAAGCAAAGAGCACTTGTGGGAGTGGGTTCAAAGTGGCTACAAAATTGTAGCTCAGAAGCTAAGCTGTTCAGGACTGGAATGAGACACAATAATCTGTGAATCTCAGCTGCAGGAGTCCAAATACCTTGAGAGAAGGGGAAAATGTAAGTATTATCAGTAAATGGGGAAAAAAAACAAGTATCCCAACATCCCATTCATGTTGTACTCATCAAATAACAATGGATATGTTAGGTAGCCCTGCTCTAACCTATTCCCAGTCAGTCATGGAACATCTGCGTACTTTTCTTACCAGCAACCATCAAGGGGATGTGGATCCCATTGACAAGGCTGGCAGAGTATTTCATTACCGTAGTTCCACCCAATCCTGTTGTCACACACAGCAAATAACTTGCTATAATTGTTAGTTTTCTGCTTTCTGACCAACCACAGGCTGGGAAGATCTCTGTAGAAGTGTCCCCCCCTCCATTTGTGAATATATTTAGCTGACCTGATTCCCATCTCTAATTGTGTGGTAAAAATTGCCTGCAGCTTGATATTACTTGAGAATTTTTCAGTTTATTGTCCTGGCACTAGAATTAAATTGTACTGTCATTTGAGAGGAAATGACAAAATATGTTCAGAAAGCTTTTTCAAAAAGGTCACACAAGGAAAAGCGCCTTTATGCTATAGTCAGACCATGTCGACTGAAAGATGCTGGGAAATATAGTCCAAAATAAGTAACTTTTCCAAGCTCTGAGGAGGTTCCAATTACATCAGGGCTCATGTCATTGCAAAGCAAAAGATTGGGAGCTTTGGTGCTTTGAAAAATGGTGGCCAGTGGTTGGCAGCTGATGAGAAAGCCCCTTGCCACCCTCCAATGCTTCTTCACCAGTCAAAAGACTTTTCACTAATTAAATGCTCAATTTCTTCAGAAACTTTCAGTCTTAATTATGATGCAAAGGTAATTGTGGCCTGCTAATAAGGACAAGGTGTGGGGGGGGAGGAATAAGCAGTGTGTGTGTGTGTGTGTGTGTGGGAAGAATAAGCGAAGTTGTTATTCTTTGTAATTTAAGATAATTAAGTTTAGGTTCCAAATATTTCTTCTTCCTCTTCTTCATTTTATCTAGGTTCCAGCTGTATTCAAAATTTCAAAACAATCTGTACGGACACATTCTAGGCAAGGGGTGCTGCAGGCTTCTCCTAGCAAAACTTCTGTACGGTATGGAGGTCTTACCTCCTCCACTCCTGACTTGTTGTGTTCAGGTCCGAACTGAGCTTCTAAGTGTTTTAAACTGAACACCCTAAGAATCCCCTCCACAGCTAGAAATGTTACACAAGCAGAATCCCCAGGGTTGAGAGGCCGAACACACCTGGCCTCTTCTTTCAGGCCTTTCCCCCTCCATCTGAGATGGTTAAGGAGGAGCAGAGAGAGGCAACACATACCCTTCCAGCATCTCCTGCATACTTTGTGCCTCCTTTCCAATTCTTTAGAATGCCTGAAATAAGTTCTTGCTTCAGATTATTCTGATGAATGTGAGTGAATGCAGAACCCCCTTACTATTTGTAGCCTGTCCTTCTGGAATGTTATTTTGTTAAGAAAGGAGCTGCTGTAGCACAAAAAGAGCTATCTTGGCATGCCAGCGCATGCTTCTGAATCTGTAGCGGCGTTATCAAGGATTACCTCAGGCAGAAGCTGTCCAGTGGGTGACATCAGAGCTGGAGGCCCACCAACTAGGGACACCACCCCATTGCAATCGACAGTGCTGTGCATCTTCCCATTTGCTGGAAGCACAGGGACCATTCTGGATGATCGACTGGCTTGACTGATGTTGCTGTTGCGGCGCTCACTGTGCCTGTGAGGAACAAAGAGAGAATCTCTTCTGCTCTCGTTGTCTTCAAAGGTGCTGTGTTCATCATCAGCAAAGTCGTTTTCAGATCCTATATCCTTCGCTCGGCCTCTGAAGCTGAAAAGACTTGCTTTGCTGCTGCGCCTTGGGGAAAACAAGGATCCACGGATGCTCAGCAAAGACTGTATGGAAACATGAAAAGGCAACCCAAAATCAGAAATATCCATGAACCACATAGAAGACGGAGAAAAAAAACTGAATATGCTATGCTGAAGCCAGACTGTAGTGAAAGCAATAGGATTTATTTGTGACTAATTTAGCAAGTCCCATTGGTCATTTATAAGTAGTAAAAATACTTAGAAAAGAGAATAGCAAAGCACAGTGAAATTATAGGCATATGAAAAAGGAAGTACTGTATACCTTCTTTGAATTCTACTATTTGACATATCAGGACTTAATAAAAATCATCTGAAAATTAGGTAAATACAGCCTCAGATCAACAAGAACACATGACATACTACACTGTGTCGTGATTTATTTTACAGATATAAAGCCAAAATGGAGAAGCCATGTGTGAAAAACCAGGTACACCTTATGATTCAGTACAGTAGCTTGTAGAATCCCCTTCAGCAGCAATAACTTGAAGTAATTGTTTTTTGTATGACTTTATCAGTCTCTCACAGTGTGAGAATTTTGGCCTGCTCTTTTTTACAACATTGCTTCAGTTCATGGAGGTTTGCAGGCATTTGTTTATGTACAGTTCCCTTAAGGTCCCGCCATAGCATCTCAATTGGGTTGAGGTCTGGACTTTGACTGTGGCATTGTAACACCATGATTCTCTCTGTTGCAGATTTGCTGGTATGCTTGGGATCATTGTCCTGTTGCATGACCCAATTTCTGCCAAGTTTTAGCTGTCGGACAGATGGCCTCACATTTGACTCTAGGATACTTCAGTGTACAGAGGAGTTCACGGTCGACTCAATGACTGCAAGGTGCCCAGATCCTGGGGCTGCAAAACAAGCCCAAATCATCACCCCTCTAACACTGTGCTTGTCAGTTGTTATGAGGTGTTTGGGCTGATATGCGGTGTTTGGTTTTTGCCAAAACTGGTGCTGAGCATTATGGCCAGACAGCTCCACTTTGTTCTCATCTGTCCAAAGGACACCGTTCCTGAAGTCTTGTGGTTTGTCCAGATGCCCCCCTGGAAACCTAAGCCATGCTGTCATGTTCTTTTTAGAGAGAAGAGGCTTTCTCCTAGCAACCCTTCCAAACAAACCATAGTTGCTAATAAGGTTTGTGCCACAGCAAAACTAGAAAACAATTTGTATGTGTTAAAACAAAATGACACAAAATTTAGTTAAAAATGTACCATATCATGGTTTTTGCTAAAACTGGTGCTGAGCATTATGGCCAGACAGCTCCACTTTGTTCTCATCTGTCCAAAGGACACCGTTCCTGAAGTCTTGTGGTTTGTCCAGATGCACCCCTGGAAACCTGTGCCACAGCAAAACTAGAAAACAATTTGTATGTGTTAAAACAAAATGACACAAAATTTAGTTAAAAATGTACCATATCATGGTTTTTGCTAAAACTGGTGCTGAGCATTATGGCCAGACAGCTCCACTTTGTTCTCATCTGTCCAAAGGACACCGTTCCTGAAGTCTTGTGGTTTGTCCAGATGCACCCCTGGAAACCTAAGCCATGCTGTCATGTTCTTTTTAAAGAGAAGAGGCTTTCTCCTGGCAACCCTTCCAAACAAACCATAGTTGTTCAATCTTTTTCTAATTGTACTGTCATTAACTTTTACCATTTAATGTGCTAACTGAGGTCTATAGAGTGTGAGATGTAACTCTTGGGGTTTTTTGCAATTTCTCTGAGCACTGCACGGTCTGTTCTTGGGTTGAATTTGCTTGGACTTCCACTTCTGGGAAGATGGGCAACTTTTCTGAATGTTTTCCACTTGTGAATAATCTTCCTCACTGTAGAATGATGATCTTTAAATGGTCTGGAAATGGCCTTATAACATTTTCCAGATTGATGGGCAGCAACAATTGCTTCTCTGTGATTGTTGTGGATGTGTTTCCTCCTTGGCATTGTGCTAACACACACCTGAATGCTCCAGGCCAGCAAACTGCTAAAACTTTGGCTTTTATAGAGGTGATCACATTTGTTGATGATCAATTACTCAAGGGCATTTGGTTAGCAGCACCTTGCTGCTACTTAGCCTCTTAGTTCCTAGGGAAGCAGTAAGGGTGTACTTGGTTTTTCACACATGGCTTCTCAATTTTTGTAAAATAAACCACGACACAGTGTAATATGTCATCTGAGGCTGTATTTGCCTAAATTTACCTGATTTTTATGAAGTCTTGATACATAAAACCATAGATTTCAAAGAGCGTGTACTTTCTTTTTCACATAACTGTATGTTGTGGTAAGGCTTTTTCTTCCCCCTAACTTGCACAAGTAATTATTGAATAGAGATGGATTTAGGGTGTCTTCGAAGAAACTTCAGATGACATCTATTAATACTGTTTCAAAATATTACATTAATATTATTAATTAGTTCCAATTTTACAATAAAATGTTCTGCTCTTTCTGTCCACTCTGCATTCTTTATACAATTAATTACAAATGAATGAAACCACAGCCAAACAATGGCCACTCTATTTTTTTTCCAATGGCTTCATGATCAGCAATCAGTGGTTAGTATTGCTGGGTAACATCTGAGGCTCATGATTCAATAAGGGAATCACTGCTGACCTCTGGCGCCCTGTACTGTTGTTGTTTTTTCTCCCTTCTCTCCCTTGCTTCCTCTTGTTGCTCTTTCTCCCTTCCCTCCCTAGCAGGGAATGAGGTGAGAAAGGAATGATGAGAAGGAGTATCAACCTCCATACACCATATTTTCTCCATCTGGAGGGTGGTCTAGATTGGTTCTGAAAGGAGAAGAAGGTGAAGGAAGGAAAAACAGGCGAATGGATAGTAGCAAAGATCGTAAAGAGGATGAGGTGACTGCACTCAGGAAGGTGGAGGAGGGTCCCAAGAACTCCAAGGATTCTCCAAAAATTAAACAAATCCCAAGCTTTCATGGATTTTTACTGAATTCCAACGAGCTTACAAAGCTGCTCAAGATGGCAGCCTCAAGAGTCCATACTTCACCTGTCATAGGCATATACCATCAATTTCTGGACTTTTGACTACAACTCTTTTTTGCGCCCTCCATGGGGGAGTTGTGCTAAGCCTGAAGAAGTGGAATTTTATCCATGAATGATTGCAATTTGAAAAAAAATGTTGTGGTCCAATAAAAGGTATCGCCCACTCTTAAATCTGTGTAATCTTGGGGACCGCAGGGTCTTCTCTTTGTTCTTTTTGGGTTATCTTTTTGTAATGGCTATCTTCTTTGCATAGAAATGTCCATATGACACTGAAAGATGTTTCTTTGGATACCGCAGACAATCAGAAACTGATCCATTATGTGGCCAAGTGAAGGAAGACAGGGGAAAGAATGGAAAGAAAAGAGAATACAGTGGTGCCTCGCATAACGAGCGCCCCGTAGAGCGATTAAATCGCTTAACGAGGGGCTCTGGGCCATCGCTGGAGCATTCGCTCAGCGATGGCCCCTATGGAGGTTTTTCGCATTGCGATATTCACTAAGCGATTCGCTTAGCGAATATTGCATAATGAAGTGGGGGAGAACAGCTGATCGGCGGTTCCAAAATGGCCGCCGGAAAGTGCCTGCCGCACCACTCTTAAATCTGTGTAATCTTGGGGACCGCAGGGTCTTCTCTTTGTTCTTTTTGGGTTATCTTTTTGTAATGGCTATCTTCTTTGCATAGAAATGTCCATATGACACTGAAAGATGTTTCTTTGGATACCGCAGACAATCAGAAACTGATCAATTATGTGGCCAAGTGAAGGAGGACAGGGGAAAAAATGGAAAGAAAAGAGAATACGTTGACCTGAGATTTGGTCAAGGACCATCGGGCCTTTATTTGGCATCACTTGCAAAAGTGACCTGGAGACCCATGGCACTCTAAAAGAGGAAGGAATGGCTGGAAATACCCACCCTGCTATTTTTGAAAATCAGATAAAAATCCTTCTGAATAAACCTATACATATACAAGGCTAACTCTTTTCCAGCTGGCCTAATGCGACTTGCTGAGTAAACAGAAGACGATTCATGCTTCGTACCTGATGTGGGGAAGAGAACCGCTTCTCATAGGTCAGTCTGTTCCCTTCAATGGAGAATCGAAAGCCTTTCCTTCGGATGCTGTCTTCAGACTCGGATTTGTGAAATCCATCTTCCTCCTTTTCATCGCCTTCAGATTGTTCCCGCTGTTTCCTCTTCTTCCGCCTGTTCCTCCTCTCTTTAGCACTCTTCGAACTCAGCTTTGAGGTGGCCGAAGAACTCTCTGAGAACCCCCCCACACCACCAACTTCGCTGAACTCTCGGGATTCATCGGCTGCAGCGGCTAAAGCAGCTGCCTGTTGTGTGACAAAGTGAAATACATTCAAGATGTACAATACTAATCTGGGAATACCATTATTGAGGGTGAAGGAGCTTGATGTTCATGACTCTAATACTGTGTTCTGAGGGAAAAGAATGAACTCACAAAACAATTTGGTGGGTTTAAAATTCTAAGAAGTGCTCCAAACCTACACCGAGTTTATCTCAGGACACCAGCTGCAGTGCTGCCCTAAGACAGTTTGCTGCCTGAAGCAGTCATGCTCTCTCTCCTGTGCCTCTGCAAAGGACCAATGATTTAAAACTCCTGCTGCAATGTTCAGATACAATATCTTCATCTAGACCTCTTCTCCCACCAGCCCATGTGAAGCATATCACCTTGTTGTTTCACGTGAGGAACATTCTTCCCTTTTTCATTGGTACTGAAAACACAACTCTCAACAGGACAGAGGTCCAGGCAATTACTCACTGTGGTCTAGTGCAGTGGTTCTTAACCTTGGGTTACTCAGGTGTTTTTGAACTGCAACTCCCAGAAACCCCAGCCAGCATAGCTGGTGGTGAAGGCTTCTGGAAGTTGCAGTCCGAAAACACCTGGGTAACCCAAGGTTAAGAACCACTGGTCTAGTGAAACTTTCTCCACAGGGAGAAAGGTGGGGGCATTAACTGGTTAAAATTAAAGGAAAACAGCCCCTTTCCAATCTCTTACTAAGCACCATGAAAAAAAAGAACCATTCCTTCTCTTGAGCCTCCTAGTCTATTCTTTTCAACAGAAGGTTTGATATGGGCAAAAATAAATTATTTAAAAAAGAGAGAGCCAAATAAGATTCCTACTTTAGCACATCCAGGAAAAATCATTCTTTATGTTTATTGCTAATTCAGTATTTTCTCCGCCTGGTAGAAATATATTTTATTCTATGGAGACTGAATGATGGGAAGCTCTTGATCCATATCTGTTAATACCAGACAGGTTTGTCTCAAGCAAATAAATATTATAATTCTATCCCTCTTCCTATTGTCAAGTAGCTATCTTGAGAAATTTCATGTCATCCAGCTAAAAGCACTCTGATTAGACATACCAAATCACAGATTTTAAATGCCATCTTGAATAAGCAGGAAACAAAAGCTTAAGATACTATATTCCTCAGTAATGCAACCTGAGCTTCTTCTTGTTGTTTTTTCAGCTGCTCCAGCATCTGCTGAAACTCGGCCTCTTTCTGCTCAGCTTCTTCCATGGTGGCTTGATTCTGTTCTTCGTAGGCCATGGCGACAACGGCCAAGATCAAGTTGATCAGGTAGAAGGAGCCCAGGAAAATCACCAGAACAAAAAAGATCATGTACGTTTTGCCAGCAGCACGCAGAGTCTAGGTGAGGTGGGGAGAAACAAAAGAGGCGTTATTATTTTGATGTTTACCAATAACTGACAATAAAACGTTCCCTATTCACCATCTTTAAAAAAATGATACATCAGATCACAACTACATGAATAATGAACACCTTAATAATAATTATTTGTTTAAAGTTTCTAGTTAATTGAAAAACAGGTAAGCTGCCAAAATAATGCCTCTATTTTAGTGTCACACATTCAACGCTTGCTTCATGACGACTCTCACCAATTGATAGAGATTTTCCCAGTAGTCCTGAGTCATGAGGCGAAAGAGTGACAAGAAGGCCCAGCTGAACGTATCAAAACTTGTATAGCCGTAGTTGGGGTTTCTGCCAGCTTTTACACACATATAGCCTTCTGGACATTGGCTATAAAAAAGAGGGGAGAAATAGTTTTTAAAAGGTTATCCTAATCAAAATATATGTTACTGCAGGCTGATGCTAGAGCTGATGGTGTTCCTCTGTTATGAGTTCATGATGAAACAATTCAAGAAAGCTAACTGCAGGAAAAAGTCCACAGGATCAAACGTTTTCCACCATTAATAATGGAAAGCTACCCACTGCTTCACATAGATCCTTAATGCACCTCAGAGAATGCTACCGTACAAGGTTACTGAGCAGAATCCAGTTCATTTCTCCTGCTTATGTAACAGTCCGTTGTAAGAGCGGTTGTGGACTGCTTCCAAGCTTGCGAAAGAAGGTATTGCTAGATGGGTCCTTCCGGAAGCTCAGAAACTATACAACCACTTGTGCAATGGACTGCTGCATGAGTGGAAGTAACAAACAGCCCACTACAGTCTACCCTAAGACCTAAAACAAGGGATGGCAACATGTGATTCTCTAGATATTGTTGGACTGCAGCTCCCATTATCCCTCACCACTGGCTAGGCTGGCCGCAACTGATGGGAGCTGCAGTCCAACAACATCTGGAGGTGCACAAATTAAATGCTCTGGGCCAGGAGGGAGATCAAATGCAAAAGAAAAGTCTTCCTTTGGTTTTAGAAAAGCTTCCCAAGTTTGAAACCAGAAAAACATTGCTCTTTCAAAAAACAAAAAAGAAAAAAATCTCCCAGAATGCCATGCTATCTATGCAGTGGTCCCCAACCTTGGGCCTCCAGATGTTCTTGGACTTCAACTCCCAGAAATCCTGGCCAGCAGAGGTGGTGGTGAAGGCTTCTGGGAGTTGTAGTTCAAGAACATCTGGAGGCCCAAGGTTGGGGATCACTGATCTACAGGATTCTAGGGGACGTTGTTCAAAACAGTACTGTATCCCAGCTCTATATAATAATATGATAAAATTATCAAATTGGGGTCAGGGAGAGATATTAGTGTAACCTATGTTTTCCAGGGGACAGAAATCCTCTTTCCCCATCCCATCACCTCTTTAAATTACTCCACAAAGTAAAGTGCTGCTTGTATACTCCCCCATAGTGCTCAAAAGCACTTAGTTTACTGACTTCTGGTAAATGGAAGGCTGAGTCAACCTCGAGTCAACGACTTGAGCCCCTTGGGATCGATCTCAGGTCATGAGCATAGTTTTGACAGCAGTGCTGCAGTTTAACCACTGTGCCACAAGGCTCCTCTCCAAATTTAGACGTTCACATGAAAACATCAGGCTTCTCGTCCCAAGATGTTAAAAGGACAAGGCAGCAATCCATGAAGAAGATGGAGATATTAATCTATCTATATCTATCTATCTATCTAAATTGTTCAATGGTAACTATTTGCTGCTGCATCCTACATATAGGACGATAATAAAATGTAACAAATCATTCTCACCCTGCATCTGAGCCGTTGCCACACAGCAAAGCATCATTCTGTCCTTCCAAGAAATAAAAGTTATCTGTTTGGAAAGAATAATCAATAAAATTGAATTGCACTGAAAATAACTATTTGAACAAACGAGTCTTATGGCACCTTGAAGACAAATACATTTATTATGGCATAAGCTCTTACTGCCTCCCGTATAAGATGTAATCGGTCAATGCACCGATTGAGAAGACTGACAATCATCTATGGCAGTGGTTCTTAACCTTGGGTTACTCAGGAGTTTTGGACTGCAACTTCCAGAAGCCTTCACCACCAACTGTGCTGGCTGGGGTTTCTGGGAGTTGCAGTTCAAAAACATCCGAGTAACAAAGGTTAAGAACCACTGATCTATGGTAAAGTAAGCTCTACAACAGGTGCCATTATGACAAGCTTAGTCTTTAAAGTTCTACACAACATGTTGTTGGCTTTGCTCGAACAATCCAACCTTGCAACTCTACTCAAATATGTTGCTGCTTTACAACACACACAGACACACACCAAACAACCAAACAAAAGTAAACCCACAAACGTAATAGGTGAAATACAGTGGTAGTAGAACAGATCTTTCATTCCTTTGCATCCCTCTCCCCTGTGCCCACAAGATTGGCATCACAATGCTGGGTGTCGCCCAATAAGACACAAAATGCAATTTTAGAAGAGGCAACTGTGTTAGCCTCTGCTAGCATATCGAGCAAAACCAAAAGGAATATTTAAAAAATGAAGATGACAAAACGTATGAGTTTTCATGGACATGTCCACTGGACTTGTCCACAAAAGTCTTTAAAGTGTCACAACGTTTTTGTCTTTCATTTCATTTATCTTTCTTTCGGTTTTGTCTAAAATGTAGTTTGTATCCTTAACCAGTGTGGTTCTTATTCTTAGTTGGAATGAATTTTCCCATTTTCGGTTAGAGAAAAATATTTTTTTAAATCCATCTACATTTTCTCGTAAGTTGGAAATAGAAGCCACTACTGCAGGAGCAAAAAATAACTACAGTATATCATTGGGTAACTGTCATAGCCAGTCAAGATCTAACAAACAAACAGTACTGGTTATCATATTTTGGAAGCTAATAAACAGTTATTGTAGATGTTATGTCCCTTCAAGTCAGAACTGACTTATGACCCGCAAACAAACAGTACTGGTTATCATATTTTGCAAGTTAATGAACAGTTATGTTATGTGCCTTCAAGTCAGAACTGACTTATGACCCTAATGGGGTTTTCAAGGTAAGTGAGATATTTAAGGAGCCATTTTACCAGTTCCACTCCCCCAAAGAATTTCCATGGCTGAGCAGAGATACGATCCAGGCCTCCTGAGTTCATTGCTATACCACACAACCACAGTCAATATCAAAAGCATTACGGTGGCAACCTTAAACTTACTTACTGGGAAGCAAACTCCTATGAACACCGTGGCAAATAATTCTAAATAAATATGGTTGGGATTTGTTTATTTATTTATTTAACTTATATACCACCTATCTAGAACGTGTCTACTCTGGGCGGTTTACATAAAACCATGCTGTTCATGACAAAACAGTTCATTCTACATGTGGTCAAGGCAGCAAAGCAGCACAAATGGGCTCAAGAGATTTTACCACAACCCAGTGAAATTAGTTGAGCCTGCCTTCCCCTGAAAGTTACAGAACAGGCTTTAAAAATGAGATTAGCAAGTCTCAGTCAGTGCAGTTGTGAGAAGAGGTGGTAGTTGTGACAAAAAGTGGTAAACTCAGCACTGCCTCTCAATATAAATCCAGGCCGTAATTCAATTTTTCTTTATTTTACGTGTATCCCACTGGATTCGATGCGTGATTTCTTGTTAACCTGGAGCTGGCCTGACCTAGCACTCCACGCTCTGGCCTGGATGCCACATTAGGGGACTTCAGAATATGTATGAGGAACCGTTTGGATTCCAAAGACTGCCCTTCAACTTAGCTATGATATATTATGGATTGTTTAACCAAATTATAAGCTGCCATGGTCACTCAAATTACTGTTTCTGAATTGAACAATGTAGCTCTTGCCAGGTCTGCTTGGAAGTAAATCGCATACTGTTCAGTGGAGCTTATTCCCAAGTAAATGCATACAGGATTGCTGCCTTGGTTGTACTATGTACAGCACAAAAATAAACAATTCAGCTTCCACTCCTGATGCCAATATTGTGATACGGCACACAACTACACAGCAGCAGTAGAAGCAGAAGCACTATGATTGTAAACATATGCAAGTCATCTAAAATTTACTTATGTCCCATGTTTACAGTCAAAGAAACATGTTACAAAAGAAAAAAGGAACGGGAAGGGAAGGGGGAGGCCGGATACCTGTACTCCAGGGCTGCAGATTAGTCTGTGCAAAATTAGATGCAATAGAAAATCAATGAAACAAATTCATTTCGGCTACACTAGTTGAAATACCATCATAAAAGGCTATAGGCACAGTGGACTGTATCAATGTAACTAAGGACAGCAATGGCCTTAGGTGGATGTATTCATTCCTCTCATGAATGATGGGTGTAAAACCCTTATTGGGGGATTAAATTTAGCTATACAGATGAAGCCATAGGTGAGCCCAGTATTTAGATTAAGCATTTAAACTCATGGGGGCAAATGCCTTCTGTCAACTCAATACCATCAACCACAAATACATGATGCTTCACTTGTGTGCACAGGTAAACCCTGACAGATGAGGCCAAAATGACAACTGATGTACTAAGCAATACAGTTAAATGATAGCTAGGCCAGTGTTTGAGATCATAGTTTAAAAATGTAACAAGTAGCAATGGATCTTTAATTCCTTTTGCTGTCAGGAGTGGAGAACATCTCAGAGGATGCTACCAGCATCATTAAAGTGGAAGATGTCTTCATCCATTTGTCTCTTTCACCTGGGGTCATTTTCAGTATTCCCAGAATCTGCTCTGCAGAATAACAGAAGAGGTACCACCAGGATGGAGAAACAGTGAAAGAGGCCTCTTGCCAGGTCTACCAGCAGGATTCACCTCACAGGCCCCTCTGTGAATGGAAGGTGCTCTTCCACATGCAGAAGGGAACTCAGGACCTGAGCCATTGAGCATATCTACACTACAGCTTTACAGAACTTTGATATCCCTTTAAGTGTCATGCCTCCATCTTAAGAAATCTGGGAGTTTGTAATTTGGTGACTTAGAATTCTCTGTAAAAGAGCAGTCCTTTGAAGGACAGTGTAAGAACTCTTTAGCACAGAATTCTAAGTATCTCACCAAACAACGTATCTCGAGATTTCTCAGGATAGGGCCATGACAAAGTGCTATCAACCCGCTATACCTGGCAGAATGCCTTCTTCCAGCGAGATCTGCCCAACCTATTCAATTATCCCAGACCAGTCATCCCAGACTGATCACGGTTCCTGAGAGAAGCCCAGAAAGAGAAGACCAGGAACTGGGCCTTCTTCGTGGTTGCCCCCAACCTCTGGAATAAACTCCCTCATTTGAAGGTACTGTACTACATCAACAGAGCACAGAGGTTCCTTCAGCTCTTAAGTGAACAGTTCTGCCATCTCATTTTTATTAAATGTTTTTATCCTGTCTTTTTTAAAAGTTTAAATTGATTGATATGTTTATGTATTTGATTTTCAGCATTGTCATCTGTTCTGTGGTTTTATTTAATGTGTTATTGTTGTTTATCATGCTGAAAGGAAAGGAAAGGAAAGGAAAGGAAAGGAAAAAAAAGAATGTTACAGTAATTTAAAAAGGCACAGATTTTCATTGTTTCCCAGCAGGCCATTTGCACAACTGACTGTGCAGTCAAGGAGTGATTAAACACATAATGGATAAGGCAGAAAACAGTGCTACTCGCTTGCACAATTACTCATTTATGCTCCGTGATAGCAACGAGATTTTGGCAATAGTCTTACAAGTTAATATAAATGCTCACATTTTAAATATGTCTCTTTGCTGTAGAAGAAACAGAAAAAGTACACCGGCTAACACCTATTCCAGACAATATTTTATTTTAAAGATGAAAGAATGTATGATTTAACAGACCAACTAAAACTAATGGTGCTAGTTCAAAAGCGACAAAGTTTAGGACCACAATTTAGATGGCACTACATAGTTTTAGAACGTGTTGTATTGATAATATTCAACTTGCAGTCATTAAAAACTTGTTTTCTAATATTAAAGAGTAATAAAAAGTCGCATATTCTTACTGTCATTACTGACGTATTCATCCCAATTAAAGGTAGTCACAGTGGTGTTAATGAAGGTACCATTTTCTCCCATTGTGCTGTTGAAGTAGGAAGTTATATTAATTTCAAAGGTAGAATTGTCTGGTGGCCAAATCAGGCATTTGTGCCTCAGGTTCCCCATGAAAAGTTGCAGCCCAATGAGCGCAAAGACACTCAGGCAAAAGACGGTCAGGATCATAACATCCGAGAGCTTCTTTACAGACTGAATGAGGGCTCCCACTATG